ACTTTCCCGAATTTGTACCACCTACAGAAAAGAAAGCGGCCCCTTGTAGAAATTGCGCCGTTTGTTGTAGTAAAAGAGATGAGAGGGGTAAAAAGATAAGGAAAGAAACAAGATACTATTGTAGGAACTGTAATGTTGGACTTTGCGCAGTACCATGCTTCATGGTATATCATACCAAACTGAATTTTTAGTCAATTTTATGTTTGCAAGTATGAAAATTTGATTTTAATAACTTGAAATTCAAAATAAACATGTAATCAAATCGTTTTCACTTTGTTTGTATAATATATATATACATATATTTTTAAATTAGCCTATACTTGTACCCCTGTATGTTGTCTTTTCTAATACAAAGGAGCATAACAAAAGACAAAAAGTTAATTATTCCAAATTTAAAATAAGATTTTTTTAATTAAATTTTTAGTTAAAATTACTTTTATTTGTCGATCATGTCTTAAAAAAAATGCACTAGAGAATATGATTATGCAAGAAAAAAATAGGTGATTTTTTGACTGAAAATTAGAAAATTAATGTGTGCCTTAAGGGGTTAAGACAAGAGAGCGGACACTGCAAGGGTGAGTAAGAAATCACTAACTCATCAGAGGGGAAGGTTCCAAGAAGATCTGGGATATTTTTGCCATAAATAAGCACGGATGTTAGCATATTGTAACGTTTCGCTCAGTTTTGTGAACATTTTTATCTTCTTTGCTTTACACTTGTAAAAAAAAAAAAAAAAAAAAAAAAAACCCTTTGTGCGGCATTTGCGGTTAATCCGAGTCCACTGTGGATTAATCAGAAGTCTACTGTTAATGAAAAAAAGAATGCAAATTGGTTTTTAGAAAGTTCTTTATATTGAGATTTGAAGTGAGATGGAAAGATTCTAAGGAACAAGGCTAAATGCTCATCTGTCAGTCTACTTCTGAAATAATTCTTTCTAAGGTTCGTAGTTGAAAACACTTGTTCACATATAAGATGAAGCAAACATAGCACTGATTTTCTGGGCATGAGATATTAAATTTCGGAAACTTACTTTCGTATGTGTGTGTGAATATGGCAAAGCCTCAAGGGCTATCTGCCTACGTGGAGGACTTTCTAAGGGAAACTGGCTCGTATACACATTACACATGGGGAAAAAGCACGAAAACGCCCATGCAGCCAGCCCGTTCGCAGGATTCGAACCTCGGACCGAACTACCAGTGTTCAGCGACTTTACCGCTCGGCCGCTGGTGGGCCGAAACTTACTTTCGATCGATAAGGATTTGTAAAACTCTAACTTTGGCATGAAACAAATGCTTGAGATGATTGTTAGATTGCAGCTCATTTAATTCAAGCTGCAAATCTGATCTCACTGCTTCAGAATTTACACTGAAAGGCATGGTAAAAATACTCAGTTCTTACCAAAATCTTGAAATCTGTGATCGACCTCAAAATGCAGTTTTTTCAAGCTATCTTCATAATTCTTAACGACTTCCTTTTTTCCGTCATATTATGAAAAAAGATAAGCATATTTTTTATAAACATTTTAAAGAAGAAATTCATTATACAAACCCAAATTAGCAGTCACAACTATTACAAGTGTTGAATTTGTTGATTTACGCAATTTTTATTTTCATCGTAAAAAGCACATTTTTTCTCAAAGTTGGCTTAACTGAAAAAACACTTTACAAAAATAGATGTCAGAATTTGAAATGTTTTATTGTTATTACATTCATTTTCCTTTTAAAATTCAGTTTTTGTATGATAAATTTTGAAACAGCGAGACGAGCATAGTCCAACATCGCAATTAGGACAAGAATATCGCATTTCTTTTCTCACCCGTTTTCCAAAATCATTTCTTTTCGAGCAACACACAAAACATTGCCTTGTTGGTCTCAATTTTTTATCAGTGGGAGAAATCACTTCCAAAAAATTTGCCCTGCCGAAACACTGAGCTACTGAAAAGAAATTTTCCGCCTTTACTTGCATAAAAGAATTCAGTAAAACCTAACCTTGAAACCAGTTGTTTTGCAAATCTAACTTTACTGGATTACTAGTGCCATATGTTAGAAACATTACACACTAAACAAGCAAAAAATTTGGGCAAATCAGTGTATTAGAATAGAAAAAAATGTTGCCCGAGCTCCACTCAGGAAAATAAAAAAAGTGCCATTTCCGAGCAAAACTGGGAAGTGGTTAAGCTTCTTTTCATTTACTGAGAGTACTGAATTTAATCTCGGGAAATGAGACAAGTCATTCTTAAACTAGCTGCCCAGCAAACAGATTAAGTTTAAAAGCTTTGAGATGTTCAGATATATCATCGATAAATTGATTTTTCCCTTGCATCTTGCCAAATTGGTAAACTCACTCAAAACGTATCCTGCAATAAGCCACCTTACTTTCATGTAATACAGTACATCAGAATATTCAGACTGCACGGACTGAAAATCTCGAATTTGCCTGTGAGTATTTACAAGTATCGAATAGTATTTACAAGCTTTATGATTGCATCAAGCACGGGTTTCACATTCAGTGCAGATATACACGAAGCATTCTTAATGTATAACATAATGTAGAAAAGCAACATTGTTCTCAGGATAGTTTTGATTGAAAGTCCAAGAAATCCAGATTATTTTCCTGTCATGTTTGATGCTTCATCAGTCGTAATATCACATATATTTGTTATAGGCACTTTCAAAGTAAAATGCTCTGTAAAAAATAGAATTTCGTCTTTATTTCATTTTGTACTCTCTGTACTGGGAAAAAATTTGATTATTTCACAACCTGGACTGATTTTTTTATGTCTTTTGTCATATAATAACTACTATGTTTCACAGTGTTGTCAGAAAATGATATTTGGGTAAGTTTGTGTTTACTTTCTAGTCCAAGACCAATATCAGCTGCTTTCAACAGATACAGCCTGACAAGCATTTCTCCACTAATATAAATGAGTATCAATAACTCATACGAGCCTTCATGCAATTTTTAGATGACTGAGCAAAGGATCCAGTGTTTTTATAAGTTTCAAACTTATTACTGCAAAGAACTCCTTCAGCTTCTCTCTTAATACACTCCTCCCCCCCCCAAGATTCATGATGAAGTAAAAAAATAATAAGTTGATAGTTTATTTCTGTATCCGAAGTATATGTAACTGCAGTGCTTGTGTTACTGATTGATGCAGACTGAAATGAGGCCCAACTAAGACTCAAGTATGACACAGGTGGTGAAACATGATACCGCTCTTCCTGCCTGTGCCCACTTTTAGATGTTGTCAGGCCTTCCTTTAGGAGCACGACCTCCTCTTTGAAAATCAACATATAAGTGTATTTACATTTGTATCTACAAATATTTTCCTTCATTTTCTTAAATATTGTAATTGTAATGTGTGTATTCTGTGTTAATTTCCGCAAAATATTTTTTAAAATTGTTTTTCTCTTTGATACGGGTTATATTCTGGCCAATTCTTTCTATGTATAAAGAATTTTCCATATTGGTGAAAATAGAATAGTTTTTGAATGGCATTCAAAACCTGACACTATCACTTTCATGATGTTGGGGGCTCCCAGAAGAAATTTTTGTTGAGATACTGTAAAACTCTTTTCACCTACAAAAAACTCATAGCTAAATATTTTACACTATGGTTGACAACAGATGAAACAAAATGCAGCTCATTATTATAATTATTACTGCAGATGTATGTAGAAATAGCAACCATAGATACGCATACATTTTGAATGCCACAAGTTCTGATTACCTTCAAAATTGATACCCAACCACAGCTGTGTTTTTGCTTAAATATACAGTCAAAAGTCTTTAATCCGGACTTGTCGGGACTTCGGCGATTCCGGATTATAGATCATCAGTTTAAATCTGGTAAGATGGCATGCAGAAATTATAAAATTAAAAATATGAAACCGTAATTTATGAAATAAAGAGCAATTATGATCTAAAGGTATCAAAATTTACAAAAAAAAAAAACAAAAAAAAAAAAAAGCTTAATATTTATTTGTTTACTTTATAAACTTTCTCTCAACGCTCGCATACGTAAAGCATACATTACACATAGTCGAAATTAGAAAATTGCAACCAGAAAACTAGTATTTGATGTGCATTAGTGATATTTATAATGACGAAGGAAATTTGATTTAAATCATATCAAAGACGGAGTACATCGAGATGAAATACTTACACTTAGTGAGGAATTATAAATCGAATAAAATAAAAACATCTGTCTTTGAAGATGAAAGGATTAGTGCTGACAGATCAAACTTCAAGTTTATTGCATCCCGCGATCGTTCCCCTCCCCCCCGTAGAGCAGCGTGAAATTGATAAAAAGATTTCCGAATGGTTAGAGAATAAAAGGATATGCCTTTATCCATTTTTTGCAACAATTCCACTTTTTGTTTGATGGACATCGGAACATGCTTTCGCTTTGTAAATCTTTTGGTAGCTACAGAATCGGAAATTCTTTTTGACGTAATTGAAAGTTCAAGCTTACTTTTATAAAACGGCTCTAACAGTCTGCAAAAAATAACAAGCCGGATCCAAATAGAAGATTAAGGAACAACGCAATCTGCAACATTAACTGAAATAGATAATTTTAGCTTAGCTTATACCATCCATTATAATTAACGTTAAACGTGCATGCGTGAACGTATTATGCATGTGCGTAGATGCGCATGTGTCAACGCATATGCAGAAAGTTTGTAGCTTTGAGGTCCGGATTATAGACTTTTGACTGCATATATTACATGCATACATTTTTTTGCATATAGCAAACAATTTAAAATGTTAACCTAATATTTAAGAAATCCATGCACCAATATACTATCAAATCAAGCTGAATAAAAATTAATAAATGAAATTCAGTGCTTCATTATGCACCTGCCATACAGTTTGGGGAGTATTTTAAACTGAAAATAATTTTTATTTGCAAGAAGGTTTATAAATATACACATATACCAAAATGCAGGGCAGGTGAAGTACGGAAAAGAACCTGATATTCAAGTGAAAAAACGTCTGCAATTCGGATGTTAAGATTTATTTTACAGAGCAAAACAACATAAATACAACTGTACAGTTACTGCTCTTTCATTTCTCGTAATCTTCTGACTGCACTTCTCACTGTGGCTGCTGCTGTTGTGCTGTAAGGAAAGAATATATTTTTAAAAAAATCATATTTCACATAAAGTCTATAACAAAAACTTTGGAGAACATACTATATCCAGTTTTGTTTGACTTATGCTGTGATTCTTTGTACTGTAAATTTAAATACTGTAATTTGTTAGTTTGAGAAAACGGCATCTAAAATATTATAAACTTTTGTGATATATACTGCATAAATTACATTATGTTTGAAAACTGTTTAACAGTAATGATAACGGTAACAGTGAATCCAAGTCCAAAAACCAGTCAATTTTTTTTTTTTAAATCAGAATTTTCTTTAACTGTTTCAGTCTTTAGAGCTAAATACAGCAAATGAAAAATAGTGATCAGAGAAATTCTTTAGAAGTACAGTAATACCTCATTATCCACCATCAAGAAAATTAAATTATGAAAATTAGTGCTAAAAGCTTCTGCATGTTTTTCTTTTTATTGCTCAAAGATTATTTGTCTGCTGTTTGCTTTCCATTCTTCCCTCCTCTTTTAAACTATGACAGACTCTTGACATACCTCTGGCAAAGAAGATGGAGTTAATTGATCTATTTGCCAAAATACAATTGCAGACAATGAAATTGCTATAATAATATTCTAAATTAATTGCTTGTTGGTAGAAATTATGGCATCATGTAATATAACAAAATATAGCTATCTAATAATAATATTATAATCTGTTATTCTAAAGTAACTGCTTGTTTGTAGAAATTATAGCAGCACATAATATAACAAAATATAGCCACAGCACAAAACCATAGCTATCGGCCTTGAAATATGAAAAATCGGGAATTTTCAGGAAGTTCTTGCAGTGTGTAGAATTTTCAAATTCACTTAAATTCCCATTATGACATAAAATACATTAATATTCAGTTAAAAACTCTATTAAACTTGGCAGCACAAACAGCCAACCGGCACTGCCTTGATATCTGCTGTCTAGACCATGGGCCCCGGCGTGCTTGTGCATATTGCCTGGACAAGTGGTCAGCTTGTTGCCGAGTCAATCTTGCCCAGCCCAGAGAATTAATATTCAGTTACATATTCTAAATTTTATCCTTTTTTTTTTTATTATTAAGTTCAACACCTACGTATTATCTTGTCGACCATTAAATTTGCCAAGCAATGTTATTTAAATTCAATTCTGAACAAGTACAACATCATAACACACCATATCTGTGCTTTCATTTGATGTAACCCTGACTGAATCTTCAACAGTGACTGCAATATGCTTCATTTACAGCTGGTCAAGAGAACTGAAGGTTGACAGCAGCTGAATATAGCCCACAAAACAGTAGTGGATTGCAACAGTAACCTGCAGGAAGTTTGTACTTATAGCACTGTAAAATCAGAGGGCTTAACAAAATACAGAAATTGAAAGCCTTTTTATAAAGCACAAAAATGAAGTGGGTCAAATACTTCCACAGCAGTTGCTATTTGTACACTGCGCAGAGAGATTGATGATATTTTATTGAAAGAGTTGAAGACGGAACTGCAACTCGGAATTCAGCAGGAATGATGCAACTTTGATGGGATTTCTGCCAACTTTCACGGCTGATGGGATAATACACAAGTACTCTAATTTCATTTTGTAATTTTCTTACACTATTAAACTAAGAAAAATCTGAATAGGAAAGTTAAGCTGTCATTTATCAAAGTACTTTCAAGCTAAAAATCACTAGGGATGGGAGAATGGAATTTACACATTGTTTTATGAATTCAATTATTGTTTTTGCATTTACTACTTGAAAACATTTTCCTTGGTAAACACTAAAAAGTGAAATCTACAAGATTTGGTGATTTCCCAGGAAACCATAAGATGTGATAAAAAAACAGGAAAATTGGCAGCCATGCTAAACTTCAGTAGTAAACGCAACGAATAGAAAAGATGCAATTGAATACTTTAAAGGAAATACAACAGCTTATTATAACTCTGAATGAAATGACAACACATGAGATTTAGACGGAAGTGTGAATTGTTAAGCAACAGCTCTCATTAAAAATATAAAATGAATTTTTTTCCCATGGAAGGACAATTAACTAATTGCATCCTTGAGTTAGATCTCATGGGAAAGGAACTGAAATTTAAAAGAGGCATGTACAATTTACTCCCATCTTTACATAACAGAGAAGTAGCCATTGCTTTGCATAAAGAGAAGGAAATAAGCCTGTGCAACAGTTTTCTTTATCTCATCCTGAATATTCACTCTGAATTAATTTCATTATTCAAGTCATACGATTCATGTTTCTATTTCATTATACTACTGTTTCTTTTTTATTATACTGTTATCAAATACTATCAAATTATTTTCTAAGCCTACAAAATATGGCTTATATTGCATCAAATTATCACTCTGAGTAACTTTCATAGTTTCAGTATTTGCGAAACAAATAAAAGAACCTTTCCAGATAAAGAGGGATTACTGCATATGTTCAATGATGAATTAAATTAATATCCACCACATAAAATTATCTGGAGGTCTAGTTACCACTACCATAAACAAAAATATCAGATTCCAACAAATTATATTAAAATTTTTTTCCCAGACCATTTCAAGGAAATTTTTGTCACTTTAAAGGGAATTTAAATGGTTAATCACTGATGTTGACAATACTCTGAAAGATTTCTGAAATTTGAAAGTTACACTCGTGATTCTTATGCTATTTGGAAAAAGGTTTACAGTAAACTCTAAATTAACTGGGTCTCGTCTAAAAAGACGTTAAGTTTATTTATTACAGAATGATGGAAAATTTACCATTGCAAGCAAAATTGATAATACAAAAAGGAGATCAAGTGAGACTTAACAGCAGTGATAGTAGATGTTAGGCTATTAAATTGTTTTATCCACATCAATACATAATCTAACTATACATAATCTGAAATATATCATAAATATTGTTAAATCATAAACATAAATGTTCAGATATCATCACATTTATGTTTCCTAATGACTAGAATACAAAAGCTGTATAAACAAAAATATTGTTCTTTCTGTTTTGAATGCAGATTTAATTTACGTATCTAATGAATATAACCAAATCTAATTGCTTAAAAATATTAATATTTTGTTACCAGTATTTTTTATATTAATTATATTGATTATTCTTCATTCCTGTGTTATTTTAACTGCTATCAGATTATCAGCAGATGACTCAGGTGAGTACAGTTCACAGGTTTCAATTCCCTTGTGAATCACGCTGATTCTGGCATGTCAATTGTAATAACTTTCTATCAGATTACAAACATACCATTTCAGTGATACAGTGAACAACTCCTTCAAGAGACAATAGCAATTTTAAAACAAGACGCTAATAATGAGAACAATAGCTGTCCATCAAACTTGCCATGCAGCGATTTGCAAGGTAGATAAGGCATTATCAAAATGTTTCAGCTACCTAACTAGAAGCTACAGAAGTCACTGAAGGCAAATGGAAGTTACTGCAAAATGTTACCTTAGATGGCTAGAAATTGAATACATATAGCAGGGTAGGGGAATACTTTTCAAATCATTAAATTTAAAAGCTAAATGAGCAGGGAGAAATAACAAGCAAATGGAATAATAAATTAACAGTATCAGCTAGTATATTTAATAAAAGAAAACATCTACTAAATATTGTAATTATAACACTGACTTATGACTGTGAAGAACTATTATCGTAACTCAATGCTGAAATTATACAATTTCCAATATATGGATTATGCTAAAGAATCTTTTTGTTAATGTAGCTCTAATGGAACATAAGCATTTAATATTGAGCTTATGAACATCAACAGCTGATGGCTTGCCTCAATACAGTGTTTTGAGGAATCTGAAGGCATTTAAAGTTAGTTTCGTATAAACACATCCTACAAATGAGGCATACCTTGGTGAGAATGGTATGCAATACAGACTTACAGATGAGTAATTTGTTATCTGCACAGCTTCAAAAGGTCAAAACATGCGCAATACAGGATTCCATGCAAGATGCTGATCAAGTAAAATTCTTAAATTTCAACTTGGATCCAGAGAACAGGTGAGGTACACATGATAATTTGCTCATTTTTATATAGATAAACATTTCTATTAGAAAGCATAAAATCTTCCCTCATTATCTGGAACTGCTTTATAATTCCCAGATATATTGCATCTCAATAAAGATAAAAGCAAAAACTAAATCACTTGTTGTACATTAGTTTATGGTTTTGATATGTTATTTCTTTGTATTGGACAAAGAAATCAGAAGAAAATCAATCCTATTTTGAACATAGCACATGCAGATGCTTTAAATACAAGCATGTAAATGCAATACATGCTTACTTAACACTGTTCCAAATGTTTCTACTATTAATTAACCCGTCAGCACACATGTTGGAGTAAAATCCACCCCACGTGTAGTCTTTTCTTAGAAAATAAGGGAAGTTCGTACGTGACCTTTCAAGTACTTCATGTACCTTTCAAGATCAAGGTTAGGAAGGGGGTTGTCCAAAGGAATTTTCCCCGTGTCCTTGGGATTTTGTGTTTTCGGGGAGGGAATGTGCACTGGGATTGTAGCTACCCCGCACATGTACTTTCACTTCTAGGGAGATATTCACTGAGATGAGCGAGAACAGTAACGACTGCGGGTTCTTCTCGTGAAATTGTCTAAAGAGCAGTTGAAACTGATAGTGAAATTGAAGATTCCAATTTCGAGCGCGGTATTTCTGAAAGTGCTCACAAAACTGATTCTGACCAATAATATGATGATTGACATGATTTAGGGAGCATATCTTCTTTGACATCAAAGTAAAAAGTTACCCTCGAAAAACGTTTGGACACGGTCACACAATATAGTGACATATTTACCTGGTGTCAATAAAAGCTTTAAAAATTTGAAAAATCTAACTGCGTGTTTATTGCAAGTTTTTGATGAAGAAACAATGGAAGATTTAGTGAAATCAACGAACATTTACATTTCATCAATAAGAAACAAATTATCTAGAGAACGTGATGCACAAGAGACAAACGTAGCTGAATTGAAGGCGCTGTTTTTCGTATTATATTACGCTGGAGTGCTGAGAGCAGCACTTCTCAAAGCAAAGATTTGTAGTCAGCTGATGGAAGCGAAATAACTTTTTTTCAAATAAAAATGACTATCAACCAATTCCACTTCCTATTGAGGTGTATTAGGTTTGATGATAAAAATTTACGAACAGAGCGAAAGATGACAGCTGGACTTTCACTTATTAGAAATGTTTTTGAAATATTTATCAAAAGCATACGAAAAAAAAAAAAAAAATATGTTCTTTATCTGAATATTGTACTATAGACGAAAAAATAGAACCCTTTGGAGAAAGGTTTCAATTCAGACAACTATATAAAAAGTAAGCTCCGCAAGATATGGAATAAACAGTTTTGCTTTGTGCAATTCTCATACATTTTATGCATACAACCTAGAAATTTATGCAGGTCAGCAGCCTGTCGGACTATATAGACAATCAAATGTGGCATTGGATGTTGTACAAAGACTTATTGCGCCCATAAGTGGCACTGAAAGAAATATAACAATGGACAATTGGTACATGAGCATTCATTTGGCCAATGAATTATTGAAAAAGCACAAATTGAAATGTTTTGGGACACTTCGAAAAGATAAGCAGGAAATTCCAGAAGAATTTCTGCCAAATAAAACAAGCTCCTGCACTCTTCGCATTTTGGGTTTAAAAGTAAAGAATTAACTCTTACTTCATATGTTCCAAAAAAGAGTAAATCGGTTCTTGTTCTATCATCCATGCATGAAGATGATCAAATCGATCCATTGTCTAAAGAGCAGCTTAAGCTCGAAATCATAACTTTTTGCAACTCTACAAAAGGTGATGTTTATACTGCTGATGAGTTATGTGGAACTTAATCCGTTTCATGAAAATTCTGCCGCTGGCCTCAAATGGTATTTTTCAGACTAATGAACATTGCAGGTAAAATGCTTTTATTATTCATCGATCAAATAACGACCAAGTGAATATGAACCGTAGAGCTTTTCTCAAAGATTTAGCATTAGAGCTTGTAAAAGAACATGTCCTAAAAAAGGCTGCAATTCTATCTCTCTCGAAAGAACTAAAAACTGGAGTAAAAAGGTTGGCAGAAATAGAAGATGCAGCAGACCTTCACCCCAAGAAATTGTTTGTAAAAATATGTTGTCACACTATGAATAATAAACTCAGGTAGCAGAAGGGAGGGGCGGAAAACCTATGTGTTATTTATATTTTTTAATATTCGTATTTAAAATCTATTCTTTGATATGAATAACTGTACGACATTATATAGAGTTTTAAGGACAAAAGCTAGTGTCCTTTCATATTCCTCTAGTGCTTTATAAAACAACTCTTTATAATAAACACTTAAGTTTAAAAAATATATACATTTTTGTAATATATTTCTAATAAATAATAATAATAATTTCTAAATAATAATCTGATTTTTCTAATATAAGAAATCATATATAATATCTTATATTATAAGTTAGTAATTTTGTAAAAATTTAGATTTTTATGGCTTACTTTAGGTAACTAGTATGGAAAAGTTTGTATAACTAAAGTAAGATTATCTCGAATTAAAACTGGAGAAACGGTTTAACAGAATTCACAAAGCTATTAGTCATTTATACATTCATTTAAAACAAAGAAAATGCATTTATTTATACGTTGGGAGGTGAACTCCGAAAAACAAACACTGGGGTAAAATTTGTCCCGCACGTGTACTAACGTAGTGCAGTGATGTGCGTGTGCTGAAGGGTTAATGAATGTAGTTGCCAGAAGTTACTCATAAAATAGTTATCAAAATGGCTACACTACCACACATTACAGTTTATATTAAATGTCACTAATAAATCAAAATTCAATCTCTCCCTGAAACTAACTAAAAAAGGTGTAATGTGTTCTAAGAGGGGTAGTCTTTCTGATTACATGCCACGATTACCCACGAACTTTTAGCACTTTTAGACAGGATTCGTGAACTCATAAGTGATCATTTTCCATCAAGCTATTACATGAAATGCAACAGCCATTTTCAAAATGGCAACACACTAAATACAACCAATAAAATTTAAAAAGCAAAACATTGATTAAAACACCTCTTCGGGAAATAATTTTTAGTCCTGTTGTTTTCCTCATGCACAGAGCAATCCATTTTTATCTTAAAAAACATTACAGAACTACACTCAGCACTGTACAACTGTGACACTGCACAACAGCTAAAAACAGACATGTGCTACATATATATATAGTCTTGTCTGTAATTAAAAGATACTTGAGCATGTTAAATTGAACGAGTTCATTTCAGAGGCAAGTGATTAAAAAAAAAAGCTGAAGGTAACAAATGAGTGAATCCAAATTCCATTGTCATGAAGCATGAACTGATAGTCCCATTTACATAAAAGTACAATGCTATGATCATTCAACAACACATGATGTCAAATCTCTTTTCATGGTATATAAACTAAACCTGGGTTTCCTTTTTATGCTGTTTTTCTCACATGTATACACCAGTCTGTGTTTAAAAACATCATATAACTGCATTAAATTGAAACTGTACCCTGGCTAAAACAGATATGAGTTACAAGAACACCTCAGCTGTCACATAAATACTTCATGGCACCATCATGAGTAAACTATTTTGATGGCATATTGCTTTGTATCATGAATATTTTTTTCGGCTTTCCAGTAATAATAATCAGTAATTACCTTTTCTTCTCTTTGAAAGGAAATCTACATAGGACATGTTTCTAAATTTGCTCTACAAAAAATGTCTTAATGTATCTACAGAGCCGAATTACACAGGAAAACATACCACAACCTTTCAGCAAAGTTTAGACATAACACCCTGACATTATTTCAAGAAATGAAGACTTTTTTTTTACTGATCTTTCAACTATCAATAAAAAGGGGAAAAAAAACAGTCTTGATACAAAGATCTTTGAAAGAAATAATCACATCCCCAGAGACATCAAAACTGGCATTTTGCAACTTCAAAAGCTGGGAAAAAATTGGATTAGCACAGTAGCCATATTTACTCCTTTGGATCAGAATTATTACAGCAAATTTAATGGCTATTCAAGGCTATTGATAGCTTTATCTCACACACCTGGTATTAATTCAAAATACTAAAAGCTTAAATTTGCAACACTTCTACTGATATATATCAGTAAAGTTAGACTGAAAAAGTTTCACATTTCTTACCTGTAAACATAAGCACCTCCAGCAACAGTTTTCTGGCAGGCTTTGCACTTCCAGATACCTACACATGTTCTTTTCATGGTCTCCTGAAATTTAAAAAACAAATTTAAATTAAAATGTGTGTCAACAAAAAAGAAATAAATAAGTATACATTTTAAGTTATATGATGCTTAACATTAATAATATAACTACTCTTTATACAAGACAAAAGAAAGCATTTCAAAATAACAATACAGTATACTAGAAAAGTACCTCAAAATGGGTAAGAATGAGTGATAAAAAATGAAAACACCGAGTATAGCATCTGAATAATGGATGTCATGCTATTTTCCAAACGAAGTCATGTAACTAATGAATATTCAAAAGCTTAAGCTGCAGCACGTGAAATCTTAATGCAACATCTTAATAATAAATTACCGAATTAATTTTGTATGGCAAAAAAGCATATTTAGAACCTGTAAATATTGCAAGATATTAACAGCAAAAAAAAAAAAAAAAAAATATCCATCAGCTGGAATTATAAAATACTGTATTTACTCATGCATTCTTCCCATAATGTTCTAAATTTTTTTAAATAATCATGCATTTTTTCCCTTTAGAACATTCAGATGATCTAAATTTTAAAATGGATTTTCTATGTTGTACTAACTGATTTGTCTGTGGATTTTGAGTACAGGATGATGAAGCTAGATGATGAAGTAATTATAGTGATGATTTTTAATAAAACTACAAAAACTAATACTCTTGGTGATTCTGAACATCACTGCATTGGCAAGATAGACTAGAGTGAACATGACAAAAACTATAGCAATAACTTGCAAGCTTTTGTCATGACTCATTATTATTCGTTAAGTATTTTTTCTTTGATATTTTGTACTCAATGTTGCGGTTTCCGGAACCTATAAACTGAATGTTTACATTTTGAGAGGTAACGCGGATTTCCGGTATCTGACTGTATCTACTGGCAGTTTCTTTATGAATTCTTTTTATTTATATTCTTACTGTAACAGCATCCTTAGAAAATCATATATGCACCCATTCCCTTTGCCTCAATCTCCACATACTAAAATTAGTTAAAAAAATATGATGTCGATACCACGACTTCCTTTTATAGCCTATTAAATTATACGAATTTTTTCACGCTTTATTTAAACTTATTTCTTTGAATTTCATTAGAGATATATTTCTCAATGAATTAATTCAGTTTTCACTTCACAGAAAAGCAAAAATACATGAAATCTCAAAACTTCATTAAAAATCGTAAAATACAGAAAAACATAAAACAAGAGTTTTAATTTTTTAACTTTTAGTAATTAAAAAATTTAATTTTTAAACAAGTTAATTTTTTTTTTTTTGTTTACAATTAAAATTATGAGTTTCTAAGCAAAAACAAGCTAGGCAGATTTTTCGATGCACAAAACTGAAAGTTTACTTTTGGTTCCACTTGGCAACAAAAAAACCCCAAAGGTGCAGAAACTGAATTCACTATTCTAGTTTCAAATGTAAACAAATGACAACTCATTAGGCTTAACTCGACAATTAAACTTCTGACCTACTGGTTCTTTTAATGCAAGTTACTAGAGGACATGCTGTTAACTATTTTGCCTTTCCTATTTACTTTTGCCTTATCACTGACACTGGCAACTCTTATCGAGATGACGGTCCTCAATAGATCAAGTGCCGAGACTATTAGTACTCCTTTCGGGCTGTTACACTTTTTGAGATATTCCATGACGTCGTACTGGAAATTTGTTTTCCATTCTGAATCCAGGAAGAAAAAATTCTGTTCTTGCTTGTACTGCGATATCTTGAAGTATGATTTGGTAGATGGATTAACTCCTACATCTTTAAATTCCAAACAGGGTTATGTCATCAGAGGCAGAATACACTCTGTAATTTTTAAAGCCCAAAGAAAAACTATTTTCTTATAAAATCTAATCAGAGTATGTAACAGTCTGTAATATTTGATACATATGCCATGTGATGGTACTTCCAGATGCGATGCTAATGTTAAACTTAGCATCAATGTCAATTTTATTCCCGGACAGAGCTGGGAGAGAAAGACATGGGAGAGATGTCTAGATGATTTCCAATCGTTGAGTCAGTCATCTTTTCAGGCGATGCTAATATGGGTTCCTGTATCGATGGTCATACTGTAAGGAACTCCATCTACATGTCCTATGATGTAAAGTCCATTACTGCTGCCACTTATTACAGAAATTTGAAATGCTTTTAAATGGGGCTTAATATCTGGTAACCTCCACTCTAGAAGATGGCTACTAATTTGTTTCCTTGCGGGGGGGGGGGCAATCTTTGCTTCGATTCCTTGGGGATGTTCTGCAGTTCCTTCATATTCCAGAACTTAAGGGTTGGTTTGTTACAACTACTAATCCACTTCAAGTCAATTACTTGCCTAGTTAAATCATCTATACAGTAAGTCCATTGGCTCCTGAGCATAACAGCTCTGATTTAGTGGTGGTTTCCTAAAGTTGCTTACTGGACTGCTTGCTCATATTTCATGGCGTACACTAAAGTGCTTTTTAGATTCTTGATATCTGCTATTCACAAGGCCTTTAGTATCTCAGAATCTTGGATGGCACTGGTAAAGTACTGCCCTTGTTTCTGTTGGGCAGTCCAAAGACTCGATATGAGACAGCCTTTGAACAACTATGATGAGCTGAAATGTTTCCGTGGTCTTCTATTGGTGAAATTTTAACTAAAGACTGCTATAGTTTTTTTAACACTTCTCGCCAAAGTGTAGATATAATGTGACAGATACGTCAACCTCTGGTTTTCAGGCAGTATGGAAGGATATCCGCTGTGTCTGCTCTCAGTGAAGTGGCGAGATGGCAGGCTTTAGCTCTGGAATCCCATCCATTTGCCACTACAGAGAATTGAGTTTTATACGTTTGCGAGGAGGTTTTCCATCATAAATGGATGGCTTTAGAGACAGTCAGGATGGTATATATACAAATTTAAAGATGTCAGAATTATAACTACAGGGTTGCCACTCAAACAGGAGAATGAAATTTCCTGACTTTTCCAGGTTTTCCAAGTGTGTTTTAAGAAAATTCCAGTCTATCCGCGTAATGCACGTTGGCTGTGCTAAGAGGTAAATTATAAGCAAAAAATATGCGCATTAAATTTCGTGATGGTATGTCATCATACTGCTAGAATTAATTTCAGGATTATGCCAGAGAAAATTTCCTGAAATTTAGAAGTATTAATTACTAATAATAAATAAATTTAGAGGGAAGAAGCAACATTAAATGATACAAATAACAAAAATAATTAAAAATTGAATTAGAATAATCAACGATATTTTAGAAAATATAGTTTTATTTCATGGTTAGCCTATATGACAGATTACCATTTTTTAGTTTTACTGCAAAATGACAAACATGGCATTTATTAAAAAAAAAAAAAAAAAAAAAAAAAAAGGTTTAAAAGATTTTGCAGTAAAAACTTAGTAAGGACTTAAATCTGGTAAGGCCTTGGGCACGATTTTGAAAATTGTCGCCAAGACCAAAATGATCCATTTACTACTTATCATAATGTCACCAAATCTCGTGTGTACCGTACACAGAGGTTATTCCAACCAAAGAATGTCTATGTAAAGAAGAAAAGGTTCCATACATGTAATGCTATAACTTCGCTAGAAAGCGGTGGGAAAATTTGCCAAGGGATTTGACGACGGAACCTGGCGGCTAGAATTTCTCTCTCCGCGATGTGTATAGGAAATTGAGGAACACATGTTAAGAAGAAATGTTCTTTGACAAAACGTTTCTTCTTTTCACGATAATTTAAACTAGGATTTTCGTTTAGACAAAACATTTCTTCTTTAATTTTTCGCAATAATTTAAAAAAAGATTTTCTTTTTTTTTTTTTCTTTTTTTTTTCTTTTTTTTGGCTCAAAATAACTAATCCAGTAATTAATTTACTTGCACCAAAATGTATTTTCTTTTCCTTTAAAGTTTAAAGACATTTTAAACGATATTCAATTTTATGAGCTCTTGATAACGTTAACTTCGAGCTTTGGCGACATATTTCACGCATGCACTGCTGTTTCCCTCTACGTTGGAACGGAGCCACGCCTGTTCCCAGAGAGGTCTTCCTTCTTTACAATACATATTCTTTGATTCTAACCTCCATTTTACCGTATACCAGGATTAAAGCAATTTTGTTTTATAAGAGAATAAGTATTTTCTTTAGTTCAACATGCACTGCACATGCGATTCTCGAGGTTATTGGAAGCTGACCTGTCTTAGAAGTTTGTTCAAGTCATTGTGCTCACACTTAACTGAAGATGTCATTACTTCCTGAAGGTTTTGAGCTGTTAAACCATGACAACTGGGATCGATGGAAAGTCGATATGAAAATGGTGTTACTGGATAGAAATTGTTGGAGCTTCATAGAGGACAAAGAAGAATTAGATAAAAGTGCAACAAGGTGTGAAAAGCAGGAGTTCACACTGAGAGAGAACAGAGCCTTTACTACATTGCATTATGGAATTAAAACTGAGTTCAGGCCGCTGATACAAGAATGTTTAAGTGATAAAGAAGCATGGGAAGTTCTACAGGAGCAATTCGAACCCAAAACAAGAGCAAGGATAATTCAGTTACTGGATGAATTTTTTAGTATTAGATATACACCAAATGAAGAAATAGAATTATTCATTGCGAGGGTAAAAATGACTGCAAAGAAGTTGGCTGAAGCTGGTTACAACTTGGCAGATCTTTTTAAAGGATTCCAGGCAATAAGGAGATTACCCCAGGAATACTCCGGCATTATACAGTTGATCTATAAGTGGAAGGACGAAGATTTTACGCTGGGAAGAATTGCTAAAGAACTGGTAAGGGAAGAAAGCCGACTTCGCCAGGTAAATGCCGATTTAGAAGACAGCAAGGTAAGCGTGTTTAATACTATTGGTTCAAATGCAGGGAAAGATAGAGTTGAAAATAAAACTAAATCTAAGAAAAAGACGGGGAATATGAGAATAGGACCTTGTTTCAGATATCATAAATTTGAGCACTTAATCGCTCAATGTAAAGAAAATGTAAGTAAAAATCAGAAGTTTAAAATAGAC